CCGTGGTGTCCTTGCCTTTTGTCCCACTTTTAACTTGTATGACCTGTTGTTTATTCCTTATCCTTGTAAGCAGTTTTACATCCTTTCTGGAAGAGGGTGGGGTATAAACAAACAACTTCAAGATAAAATGTATAAGGTATTTGGGTGTGTCCAGTTACCAAGAATAGAAATCAACTTCAACCAATGCTGGATCCCAGCAGGCATCCAGCCGTGCATTTGTCATGTTCTCTTGGGTGTCTTTAAGGACTTTAACTGGATGTGCCCAGACAGTAACTCATAGTCTCCCTCAAACTGGTCTTACCCTAGTCTAAGACGTAACCCAGGCACTATCCTCAAGAGGTAGTCTAAGGCAGTGATCAGAACTCAACCCCCGATCTTGGCACTACTAGACAGATGGGGCCGGATCATCCTCTCTGGTGGGGGCCGTCCTGTGATATAAGAAGTTTGGGAGCAGTCATGGTTTCCATCCTGTAGATGACAGTAGCGCCCCCTAACCCTGAGTTGGTGGCCATTAATGCCACCAGATATTGCCAAACGTCCTCTGGTGCAGACCACTGGTTTGCAGCAAGGACTTAAATTAAAGCTCAGACTCTCAGGCTTGAAATCCCAACTGTGCCGTGGGACATGGGCAAGTTATTTAATCTTTCTGTGCTTCAAGTTCATGTTTTATATAAAGGGAGGAAGATAATAGTCCCTCCTTCACAGATTAAATCGACTAGTAAGTGTAGGACGTCTAGAATGGCACCTGGCACATCCAAGTGTCATGTAAGCAATTATTCCTACCTTTGAAATTATCTCTCATCCCTCAACCCAAATCATCCCCATTCCTGGGTAATTCTACTTTATAAAGATCTTTATAATCCATTCCTCTTTATCCAGCATCACCCTTGCCCAAGCCACTCCAGGCTTCCCACAATTTAGTCTCTACAGAATAACCGGTTAGATCTGTTTAAACTGTTCAATGCTTACACAGAGTCCTGTTGTTTTTAGGAGAAAATTCCTCACCAATGGCCTAGAAATTAAAGAATGACCTCTATGATCTCTAGAATCTTGTCTCCTAACTTCATCTCCCTTATTTCCTAACCTTAGCCACAATGGTTTTTCTTTCCATTGTTCAAAAGTGTTGTTCTCTCCAAGGTCCTCAAATATTCCAGGCCCTCTGCCTGCAAACTCAAATGAAGCCATTTTCAAAGCAGTGATGATGGGCTCTTTAAAAATAGGGATAGGCTGCTTCCTGGGAGGAGTAGAAAGAGTTTAAGTGATTGAGCCAGGAAGGGCTGCCGTGTTCAGTGGGGCAGTGTGTGCACTGCACAAATAGCCACGGCCATGAGTAGAGACTGCAGTTCATCCCAAGCTCCAGTAGTCAGCTCATACCCATGCAGGTGCAGAGCCACTTGCTCACCAAGCTGTTTGTGGAGCTGTAATGCTCTGAAAGAACATGCCTTTGGCTAATCTGTAATGAAGAGGCCATATAGGCTAGTGACAGCCCTACAGTGAGAGCATACAGTAGGTGGATAATAGTGGAGCTCCATTTAAAAATGTGTATTTCCTGTCTGTTGTAGACACATTAATTTGCCAAAGACCAAGAAAGAAACTGACTATGCCAACTGCCTGGCATTTTCTTTCTTTCTATGGCTAGAAAGTAGCCATTCTGCATCTCTGGTACTAGAACAGAGACTAACTTGAGAAAAGCTGTCCCTTACTCGTGCATGAAGCAATTGGACAACTTTCAAGTCTTGAAGTGCTACAATTAACATTTTCCATAATTAAATTCACAGTAAAATGCCTTCTGGGAATCCAGTATTTTTAAAAAATTATCTATTCTTATTAACCTCATTCATCTGTCTCATAAAAAATGTAAACTAAGCCTAGCCATACAGAACATATATCCTAACAAATATAATTAGCACTAAATATTTAGCCTTGCCATTACAACATTTCAGAGGCAGAAGGAACTTCAAAGACCACCCAGTACAAACATTCACCTTAGCGATGAGGACCCCGGGGCTCGGGATAGAAGCAATGTTGCCCTGGATCACTCAACTCAGAGGTGGTGTTGCAAGAGGGTACACACCTCTCCTGTGTGCCACATGACTGCTTCCATAAGCCACAGTAGGAAAAAAAAAAAAAGAATTCCTACTGTCTTACCAAGTAGTAAGTATAAATGAAAGCACATTTCTAACCATGCTGCAAAGTACTGGTTGGCCACTCCGTGCTGCATCTAATTATAATCAATTATAGGGATTGCTGTTTTTCAGATGCACACACGCAGAGGGTACCACTCTTTTGGAAACAGAGTCTGGGTCACGGGGGTTCAGAGGTATTTTGTCATTCTCATACTGTTTGACAGGACTGAGGGCTCTGAGAACACCAGACCTTAAGGAAACCCAAGTCCTACAACTGTTTGTTTGTTTGTTTGTTTTAATTAATTTATTTATTCATGAGAGACACACGATAAAGAGGCAGAGCCATAGGCAGAGAGAGAAGCAGGCTTCCTGCGGGGAGCCCGATGAGGGACTCGATTTCTAGACCGGGATCACACCCTGAGCCAAAGGCCGATGCTCAACCACTGAGCCACCCAGTCATCCCTTCTACACCTTTTGATTTACAGGTTATAAAATAAAAGTGAGTACTTCCCAAAAGAGGTTGACCAGAAGATTTAAAGAACACCCCCCTCCCCAATTTGGGCACACCTGGGTTTGAATCCTGACTGTACCACTTACATATTGTCACCCTGTGGAAGTCACTTTACCTCTCTCAGCCAATTTCCTTGACTGTAAATGGAAACAGTAATAGTTACTTGCTAGATGGAAGTAATTGGTAGGATATATATATATATATATATATATATATATATATATATATGTATATATAGGCATATATAAAAAATAATTTATATATATAAATAAAATATACATGTATAATACCTATACATTGTATATATAATATGTATTTATATTTTTTAAATATATAAAATAATCTATATATAAATAAAATATACATGTATATTATCTATATATTGTATATATAATATGTACATGTAATATATATACTAATATCTATATATCAATATACATGAGGACACCATGAATGCTCCTAGGTGAGCTGAATTGGTTTTTTGTTTTGTTTTTATCCTGTTACCCTAACAGGGCTGTGAGGTCTCTGTAAAGCCTTTGCTTATTATTTTGACCCCAGTGTGCAATGCCACACATAGGCCTTGTCTTATAATCTGCTCAGTAAACATTTGCTAAACTAATTAATAGGCGCATGAATGTGTGAAGAGGTTAGATCTTTTCCTCTAAAATACTAGTCAAATCTAGTGGATTGAGTGGTACCATGCCAGAAGATATGTCCACATCCCCAGAACCTGTGATTATGACCTTAGTTGGTTAGAGGGTCTTGGCAGATGTAATTAATTTAATGATGTCCAGATGAGATCTTCCTGGATTATTTGAGTGGAACCTGTTTTAATCTATTCAGGTTGCCATAGCAAAAATACCATAGAGGCAACTGGCTGGCTCAGGCAGTGGAGTGTGCAACGCTTAATCTCAGGATTGTGGGTTCAAGCCTCACGTTGGGTATAGAGATAACTTAAAAATAAAATATTAAAAACAAAACAAAACACCATAGACTTGGTGGCTTATACACTCAAACATCTGTTTCTCACAGGTCTAGAGGCTGGGAAGTCCAAGATCAGGGTGCAAGCAGATTCGGTGTCTGGTCAGAGCCTGCTTCCTGGCTAACATTCACAGACAGCCACTTTGTCATTGTGTCCACACATGGTAGAAGGGATGAGGGACCTCTCTGGGATCTCTTTTATAAGGGCACTCATCCCATGCATGAGGCCCCCCTTTCATGACCTCAGCACCTGCTAAAGGCCCCATCTCCTAATACTATCATACTGGGGAAAAGGTTTCAACGTACTAGTTTTGGGGGCATACAATCCCTGTAATTGATTATAATTATAATTTCATCCTATAGCATACCTAAATCCAATAACAAGGGTTCTGATGAGGGACAGAAGAGAAGTCACAGAAACAGAGAAGGTCATGTGAAGATGGACGCCGGGACAGGAGTGATGTGACCCACAGGGAATGCCAGCAGCTTCTGGAAGCTAGAAGACGAAAGGAAGTATTGCCCTCTAGAGCCTCCAGAGGGAGCATGGCCCTGCTGACAGCTGGATTTCTGACTTCTGGCTTGCAGAACCACAAGAGAATAGGTTTCTGTTGTGTTAAGCCACCCAGTTTGTGGAAATATGTTATGGCAGCTCTAGGGAATGAACATGCCACTGTGTGGGAGGCACGTAAACACTGGAAGAAGTCAAGAGATTCTTGCCCATGTTTTGATATCAAGTCCCTGGACTCTACATACATCCACAGCGTTTTACGCAAGTTGGATCAACAGTGGGCTGGAATTTCAGTGGGGTACATTAATCTTTGAAATTACATTGCCAAAGCAACAAGAAGTCCTGAAAAGCTGCCCATAGGATATTACTCACTTTTCCTAGAAGAATATACCATTTACTTTCGCTTCTCTGCCCCTCCTTCACTTCTCACCCACCGCACCAGACACCCATGACAGCTAGTGCTTATAGGTAATAATGATTTGTTTATTTTTATTTATTTATTTTTTGCAGAGAGGCAGAGATGCCCCTTAGACATCAGGGGAGGTGTCAAAGAGCAAGTGGACATTGACCTGGAGCTTAGTGGGGCGGTGGTTGTGGCCAGAGTTGGCAGCCAGGATGGCTCCAGCATCCTTCTTGCACTTCCAGGTCATGTGACCAGCTGCTCCTTGACATGCCCTCAACTGAACTCCTGACTGCTACCACTCCACCTGGTACTTCCCCCGTCTCTGAACCTAGCCACTTCATTCTTCTGAATACTCTGCTCTCCTCCATTCCTCTCCTGGTCTCCCATCCTTAACTGTTTGTGTTTTCACTACCTTGAAAATGTGCCTGTAATCCAATCACTTAGCACAATTTCCACTGGTACCATAGGCCGCCATGCTTTCTAGATGGGACAGTTTTGTGTGTCATCCTTGTGCAGGAGCCATGCTTAACCTTCTCTGTATGGTGCCAGTTTTAGTATATGTTCTGCCAAAGCCAGTACCAGATGGGATTATTTTAAGAGTTTCTTCCTCACTGGTTATCTGTATTAGCCTCTCACTACATTCTATTTTTCCAAGTGGTACCTAGAGAAAGCTTTTGAAAACCTAAACCAGGTCCAATGGCTTCCTAACTGATTCAGAATAGAATGTAGGATCCTTATGCTGGTCAATAATGTCTAAGTGTCCCCATCTCATCCTGCTATTTCCCCTCTGATTTCATCTCTTCTCACTATCCCCCCACCCCCACCCCATGTATACAACCCTAACCCTGGATTCCCTGCTATTCTTTTATTTTATTTTTTTAAAATAGACTTTATTTATTTATTTATTTTTTTAAATGATAGTCAGAGAGAGAGAGAGAGAGAGAGAGGCAGAGACATAGGCAGAGGGAGAAGCAGGCTCCATGCACCGGGAGCCTGACGTGGGATTCGATCCCGGGTCTCCAGGATCGTGCCCTGGGCCAAAGGCAGGCGCTAAACCACTGTGCCACCCAGGGATCCCCCCTGCTATTCTTTTAAAATGCCAAGCACACTCCTACCTCAGGCCCTTTGCATCTTCCCGAAACATGACCTTGCCAGATATCTGCTTGGCCTTGTCCCTTCTATCCTTCTGTGTCTGATCCAATGTCCTCTCCTCAGGCCATCTCAGACCACCCTGTAAACCAGTACCCACCCCTCACTTCCTAAACCCTCTACTCTACCTTATTTTTCTCCTCCTCACTTTGCACCTTTTATCAACAGAATGATCTCGGACATTGTGCTTAAAATTCTATGGCCCGCTGAGGGATATCCACAGTGTGATTGGAAATCTGTAAGTGTTGTGTGCCCTTCAGATTATGGAAGGAAAAGAAAAAAAGAAAAGAAAAAGGAAAACAAAGCCAGATTCTGGTTAGGTACCCATGTCTTTTAGACATGGTCCTTCTCTGTAAAGTGAATACGAAACCCACAGTGCAGCCATCTGGGTGGAGAGGCATGAATTACATGTGGATTAAGGGACATGAGTGAAGCCACCACCTTCTTCCTTAGGCAATGCTGAGAAGGGGGTTCGGTGGCACATGACACCTCAATTGCCTAGTTATAGCTGGTCATCATACTCTGTGAACCTGGAAGGGGTTCATATCATTGTTCCTTAAAGGTTAAGCATATTACTATCCTTAGGAGATGTAAAATTAATCACAAAAATGTTTGAGAGGACAAAATCCGTAGTATTACTATTTATATTTTAAGTATTTCAATAGCAAAATGTGTATTTTGTATGCTTATTTTGTTTACAGGATTTGATCTGTTAGAGTGAACAGATCAACCTATAACAGCCACTTAAAATACATAATTGAGTAATAATTGAGCTTGACTTATGATTTTAATTTGAAATCTTAACTAAATTTATATATAAAGTTAGAATGTGAAGATGTTTTAAGGATCACCACATTTATTAGCTTAATTTAATAGCTTTATAAAAATTACTTAAGCACCTAGGAAGATTTGTCAATAACACAGATGAGCTACTAAAAAATGAAACTGAATACACAGAATTTATAAATGTGGCTTAATTAAGTTTGCAAATGCAATCAAACATTTTCCAAATAGCCCTTACACATGATGGCTCATGTGTTTCAGACTTAAAGGTAGATGTATAAGGTGAGCCTAAACCCTTGCTTTTTCAACATGTGACTTTAAGAAATTGTTAACTTCTAAAGCCAAAATACACTTCAGAATAGTCTTTCTTGTACCCCTAAAACTTCAAGTCCTTCAGACATTATTGACATCACTTATCTCCCCCTTCAAATAGAAGCTCTGGAAGAATGGTTTTGGGATGTCAACTCCCGTCAGGGGTGCTCTCAGTCCTCAAGGGCCTTGTGGAGCACATAGCAAATGCTCAGGAAAATATTTAGTGGAGGTGAATACTCTTTGCCCTAAGGTTTTGTGTGATTCCTGGGCTCTTATTCATACATCCTGAGAGACTGAGATCTAGTGACAGTGTGGAACACGGTCAAGATGCTGGACAAAGTCTGATGGAAGGGTTTAGGGGCACCCTGACTTCCTGGGTGATCTGCTCTTCAAGGACACTTATACTTGCTGTCTGTCCTCTGTCCCCCCTGCCCCACGAACTCTCCCACAGTCCTCAAAGCACACAGTAGACCATCTATGTGACTTAACCTTGTGAGGTTCCTTTTATACTTTCTTTCTCATCCTCTTCTGAAGGGCTGACAAGCTCTACCATGCCAACATCCTCACATGCCTTTTTTTTTTTTTTAAGATTTTATTATTTTTTTTCATGAGAGAGAGGCAGAGACACAGACAGAGGGAGAAGCAGGCTCCATGCAGGGAGCCCGATGTGGGACTCGATCCTGAGTCTCCAGGATCAGGCCCTGGGCTGAAGTCGGTGCTAAACCGCTGAGCCACCCAGGCTGCCCACTCATATGCCTTTCCAATGAAGCAATGAATGAATAAAAGCCGGGACACACGAAGAACATTGCTGTAAAGAACACTTTGCACACAACCGCCATTATCACTGGGTTATCGAGCCCGGTTTTGCCATCAGGGTTGCACGGGATCAAATCCTACTTCCATGGCATGGTGCTTTGTGACTTCAACCCACAGTTAAGAAATATTGCAAAAACTTCATGCTTTCAAAATAAATGCTAACTTCGATCTGCTCACTGGTCAAGATGAAAGGAAAAGCTAAACCCAAGGCACGAGTGAAAACATTTAAGACTGTTTGCCTAAAGATAGGTCAAGAGATACGGGCAAATATAGAATCTTACCAGGACACGCAGGCCTTTGGGGGAAGAGTTTCAACATGGTTTACATTTCAGCTTCAATATTTATAAACAGAACAAAATCCGGAGGGAAGGAGCCCTGGAAGATAAGCCTTTAGGTAAATAGTTCAGGAGGCCTCAGAAGCTGCTTCCCGGGATAAGGCAGGCTTAACAGTGGCAGCAATTGGGTAAAGCTGGAGAGAAGGGTGGGGAAGAGAAATGAAACAGACCAGGGTTCCTCAAATTTTCAAATGTGTACCACCTGGGCATCTGGTTCAATACTGCTTCTGATTCAGTAGGTCTGCACTGAGGCCTAAGAGTCTGCATTTTTTAAAAAAGATTTTATTCATTTATTTGAGAGAGAGCAGACGAGAGAGAGCACAAGGGAAGGGAGAAGGGGAATGGGGCAGAGGGAAAGGGAGAAGCAGGCTCCCCGCTGAGCAGGGTGGCAGGTGGGGGACGTGGGGGGCAGCGTGGGATCCCAGGACCCTGGGATCATGACCTGAGTGGAAGGCAGATGCTTAACCAACTGAGCCACCTGGGCACCCCATAAGATTCTGCATTTTTAATAGGGTTACAGGTAAGGCCAAACCTGGTCTGTGCGCTACACTTTGAATAGCAACGATCTGTGATAGGAAAGCATTATACACCCCTTGAATGACATCAGTACACCAAAACGAAACAAAAAACCCCCAAACCCCAGAAGTACAAATAGGAGTCAGTGCTATTTTCATTCTCAGCAGACAGGTGTCTTAGAGGCCATAGCTTTACATAAACCACCTGGTAAGATTCATTTATTTGCTCAACAAATATTGATTGAGCATTGACTAGGTGCTCGGCACTGTTTCAGGTTTTTGGAGTGCAGTGGTAAGTACCCAGGACAAGGTCTCTGACCACGAGACATTTTCATTCCAGTATGGAAAGTCAGACAATATACTCAGAAACACATAAGGAAATATACAAGCAAGAAGAGATGAAATTGTTTCTGTTTGTGATACATGGCAAAAGAAAATAAAACAGGGCTATGAGTTAGGGAGTGGTTTGGGAAGGAGGGCTGTTGAGAAGGGGTGAGAAGTAACCAGCCATGCAAAGCTCTAGGGGGAGAGTGTCCCAAGCAATTAATGCAAAGGTCTTAAGTTGAGAAAGATCTTGGCAAGTATGAGGGATGATAACTCACTGCAGTTGAGGTATAGTGACAAATAGGAAAAAAATTAGCCCAGAGCCAGATTATGGTAGGGAGCTGGGATTTATCCTAAGTGTAATGGATTACCCTTCCAGGGTATTAAGCACAGCAGTAACATAAACATTTTAAAAACACCACTCTGATTAATCTTAAAATCACTAGTAGTGGCACAACCAGACATTAATGTGCCTCCTAGTGAAATAGAAATTGGATGACACGGTGTCACTGATTAAATAGTTTGCTGAATATAATTCTTTAAATCTAACATCCAGTTTATGGGAACATAAACATACAGGAGATAGAAGAACAAGTTCAAGGATATCACAAGGAAACACTCAGATAAATCCAGAAGGTGAAACCACTGGCATCCTTTCTTTCAACAAAATCAATGAAGGAGAAAAATGGAAAAATAAATCAATGGCATGGAAAAAGGGTGGAGGGTGTTATAGATTGAAAGAGAGTTAAAAGATGGGCAGCTCGGGTGGCTCAGCAGTTTAGTGCTGCCTTCAGCCCAGGGCCTGATCCTGAGGACCTGGGATCGAGTCCCATGTTGGGCTCCCTGCGTGGAGCCTGCTTCTCCCTCAGCCTGTGTCTCTGCCTCTCTCTCTCTCTGTCTCTCATGAATAAATAGGTAAAATCTTTAAAAAAAAAAGAGAGAGAGAGAGAGAGAGAGAGAGAGAGAGAGAGAGAGGGACACCTGGATGGCTCAGCATTTAAAGTGCCTGCCTTCAGCCCAGGGCATGATCCTGGAGTCCTGGGATCAAGTCCCACATCAGGCTCCCTGTATGGAGCCTGCTTCTCCTTCTGCCTGTGTCTCTGCCTCTCTCTCTCTGTTCTCTCATGAATAAATAAATAAAATCTTTAAGAAAATAAAAAAAGAGAGTTAAAAGATATCACAATCAAATTTATGCAATGAGTGGATCTTAATTGAGCATGGTCCCAATAAACAATCCATGGGAGGGGTGACTGGGTGGCTCAGTAGGTTAAGCATCTGCCTTTGGTTCAGGTCATGATCCTGGGGTCCTGAGATAGAGCCCCAAGTCAGGTTCCCTGCTCAGCGG